ATTTTATGAATGTATTCTTTCTAAAAATATTGAGTTTCAATAATTACATAATTTTTCACGGGAAAAAAAAAAAGTTGAAATGTCTTTCCTTAACCATGCCATAATATGCACATTTCGAATCAGTTCTTGTCAATTGGATTTGGCTACCGTCACAAAAAAGGCGATTTGTAAATTCCTCTGATTTTGTTAAACAACCTTTTTGATACTTTAAGATTAGAGTTAACGGCCTATTAAAGAATTGTTCATATAGTCTATCGCATAATACGACTCGCTCGACGTTTAGTTTTTCTCGTATAATAATAACAAAACTTTGTTAACATCTTTTATTTGGTTTGCATTTTTTTCATTGCCACCGTACATCAACTCAATTTTCTTCCACAAAAATCACATAGGTGTATTTCAAAGACTGCCAATGATGCACAAATTTTTCGGCCAAGTATAAAAAGTGTAAGAGCGAGCCAGTATTTAATCAGTATAAATGACAGTAGAATATCTATTTTACAATCGTCTTGTATAAACCTAAATAAGTGAACCATCGAATAAGAATTAAATGATAATTCATTTTACATTTGACTGATACACGTGGAGCAGAAATATGATAATAAGTAATTAAGTACATGCTACATTCACTTGTCGTTTCAATCGTTAAAAAAGATCTATTATTAATAAAATTACGCAAAAAATATTAGTTTTAGCATTTTACGATAGAATTTTTCGATCACTTTGATTAAAAGTAACATACTACTTTTTCGTTTTTTTTCTTTAATTTTAATTTCGAATTAAAAAAATTTGTTATCTACAATTTCCTACGTCGCTTCTAAAAACTTTGATGACTTTGTTAGCATGCGTTAACACAAGAAACATGTTTAAAATTGCACGTGTTTGTCTATTGTTGAAATTACCAAAAATAAGTACAACAGTGAATTACGCCTATCGGAAGGCTTAAAAATTTTTAATTAACGGTGAAAAAATTTGTATTAAAAATTTCTCTTGCAAAAACATTTGCCTATATTACTAATCTGTAGAATTTTTTGTGATACTCGAAATAAATCGTTTGGCAAATGTAAACGAATTAAGAAAAGAAAAAAAAAATCAAAATATACATTAAACAGAGTAGGGTTCGTTAACACAAGTATTTCATCTTAAAAAAAGACATTTTTCACTTTAACTCTTTACGCGATGTATAATAGTTTACTACTTGTCAATACGATTCAGATTTTTTTGTAAACAAATGCCGTTTCACTCACCTTTTGTAAGAGAATTCATCTCGAGCACAACTAGTTAAGCTCCTTATGCTTTTAAGGAGTTGCAACGACTGTTCCATAATACTGGACGAGGAAACAAGAAGTGTTGACCATCTTATCATTTTTAATAGATTTTTATACATTAACGGGCAATAGGAATGAAACAAAAGTTTAAACGTACCTGCAGAAAAAATTCAAAAGTATGTAAAGAAAAAAAAACAGTGTATTATTTATACAAATAAATACAAAAATCGAGGTGATTAGGTACTTGCTATGTGTTTTTCATAATTCAAGAGAAAAATTAAACGTAAATTAATAATTACCCGAGATCTTCCACTTATGAATATAGAAGTGGGCACGTAAAACGAAAATCAATAAATCGATCGAGCCTGAAACCCTAATTCTCTCACTCCGTATCTACGTTTATTGAACTATCTTAGTAATAGTGTGCCAACAAAGAAAAAAATAGCAATGAAAAAAGATTCCAGTGAGCGTGTAGCCAAAACAAAAAGGAATCGCAATTTTAATTATGTTCATTTTCATTTCATCTAAACATTATTGAATATGTCATGTTGATAATTTCGAGCTTTCGGCCGAGTCGATGCTTAAACAGCTAAGCGAAACCAAAATTCCACTTTCAATGTTACATGCAGCATACAAGAGTGCATTCTTTATTGGTTACAATGTATTATTAAAATAAAATATATATATATATATTTCGCACCGATTAGCGGAAAGTCGAAATACATTGTTTTGTTGCCAAAGACGATTTTTTTTTATCATAAATGTATTTTACGTTTTGTATACTATATGTTTCGAAGTTAAACTTTACGTGAAAATTATTAGTAATATAACACTAATGTTTTATTTCATAGCCATAGTATCGTCATTATTTTTATTATTATTATTTTTCTTACTGTCATAACTTGTCGCTCCAGTATCTCCTTGGATACATACATTTTGCGTTTTACATTTTTCCTTGGAAAATTTTCCACCATCTGAACATAATTACATAATGACTTTTCAATTGACTTAAACGCCGTAATTTTTTTTTTTAATTTAAATACTCTCGTCTATTTACTATAAGTACGTATTATATTATAATTACGTGCCTTTTGTATATTTTTCATTGGCCTAAGCGTGCCACGAATACATGTTTTATATTTAAAATATAGACTACATGCAACGATTAATAGATCTATATAAATATATATACAAAATGTATCATCTATTGAGCTGTATCAATTTATTTTGTATACTTTTGGAAAAATTATGTATTGCAGCTGTTATTATTTTATTAAATCCTGCCATATCATAATTGTAACGCACGTTTTTACCTTTTTTGTTCACGTTTTCCATTCACCATTCATTTATAAATAGTGTATTTTCAATTTAACACTCACATTTGCTGAAAGTATTTTAATGAATGTTAGCATTTGGAAAGTTTTAAATATTAAAATTCACGTTAATCCTTCGATTTTAATTTAAGATTGAATATTTCACATATTCAAAAATGCACTCAGCTTTTGTCAATATTTTCACGCACAATTTTTGTTTATCGTATATATTTCATGGTAAGTGTCATTCTACCTTTTTAATATTTTTTTTTTTTTCATAATTCATTTCACCATTTCAATTTATGCTGCTAACTTTTTTCTTCTATGTAAAGCGATTGAATGAAAAAAAAAAAAAAAAAAAAAAAAGAAAAGAAAGAAAGAAAGGAAAAAAAAAAAAAAAGAACGTATGCGATTTTGCCAGTGTAGTATGTATGATAAAAATCGTCGCACCAGTTGAGTCGCACGTGCGTTTTCATATCTAGTTGTACAAATAAAAAGAAGAGGAAGTAAAAAAAAAATTTATTTCGAAAAATGTATACTTGTATGATGTCATACGATTAATCGACTTGAAAAGAATTAAATAATTGACTCAATAGCGGAACGGATGAAAAGAAACCAATTAGTAAGAAAAATAAAGTAAAGTAAAAAATTTATCTTTTTACCAATGCCAGAGTGCGTTTCTTTGGAATACATGTGAAAAAATTAATGCGCTTACTACACTTGGCAAGAAGTCCGTCGAATCTGCGTTTCCGATTTTGGAACTTTTCAATAATTTACGGGGTTTGACGGCGAGCGCGGCACAACAAGTAAGACTTATGAAAATTCTGGGAAAAAAAACGAAGTAAGACGATAACAAATGTATGAATTTGAATTATATATATTTCTTGTCTGTCCGCTATTACATTTATTGTATGTACCTACAGTTCAAGTCTTTGGTGAGATTATTTTGATAACTTGGCATCGCTCGCCCCGAGATTTGTCGGACTCCGCTTGTCTGTGTATATTTCACCATCAACGCCATCCTTTCGGGCATATGTATTGTTATGATGTATTATTATGTAGGTAATGTATATATATAAAATAGGTGCACACCTACGGCCCACTTCAGAACAAGTCTCAAGTCGAGTATCATACACAGGTGTGAGTGTGCGTGTGTTCGTGTACCAAAAAGTTTCGCTTGGGTTGACTCCACATAGCACAGCACATTTTGGGAAGATTTCAAAAACCTGTATGGTTAAAATTTAAATTATTGAAACGTTTTTAAAACGCAGTGATATTTTTTGTTCATCTTCCGAGGTACGTACGTACCCCATAGGTGAAAAAAAAAAAATTAACTGGGTAATATTTGATTTGGGTTTATTGAAGCGAAATTTTTTCGACCCTCGAACACCTTCTTTGGTAGATTCGATTCTCTCTTGGCGCGCGAGCGTAACTGGACTTTGTCGCTTCATCGATTTCAAAAGCGGCACCGAGGAATCGCTTTTGGAAGTAATCTATATATTATACGTACCTAAGGTTTTGGGAGGGCGATCGAATGTTCCCTAAAACCCCTCCGAATTACATTTGAATGTGCAAGTAACAAAATACGTGTAAGTACGACTGTAAATAGACGAACTACTTCAGCGTGACTGGGTTATGCGATTCTTGTATCGGTATGACGCGCTGTTGCATACTTTTTTACGAAAACACCTGATACTCATTGTAGATTTTCATTAATGTTGAAAAAAAAAAAAAAAAAAAAAAAGAAAAGAAAAGAAAAGAAATCGTAGTATTTGGTGGTGCAATTTTTTTGTCATAAAAATACGTACACTGTATACACAGAGACTGTCGAGACACATCGTTTTTAGTTTCAGAAACTAATCCAAAAGCGATCTCTTTGTGTCATCTTTTACTGTTTGTGACTGTTCTAGATTTGAGAAAGTTATAAATATTTATATTGGACTATTGCTACGACTATATTCCTTTAAAAAAAATCTATAATATTATTAATTTACAAAGCTACCTGTACATATGAATTTTATATTCCTGCGAGAAAATAAATATTAACATTGAAAATAAAAGCATCTTCGCAATTCATTGAATTTGTAGTAAATGAGCTCATTTGTTGTAAATAAACATAATTTTCGAACTTTTCAATAAAAAATTTTACAAAAATTACTAAAACTCATTTCGTTTTTTTCCTCATTCCTTGTTCATCGTGCAGTTTGTGGTGAAAATTACTTTTTCCGCCCTCGGGTAGTTTTGGGAGGCTGGTACTTCCTCGGGCGAAAAAGTAGTTTTCCGGAACTTGTTCGAAAAGTCTCCTTTACGAACCTCGTTACGTCCCTCGCCTTCGGCTCGGGCCGCAAACCTCTCGGTTCGCAAACAGAGACTTTTCAAACTCGTAGGAAAACTACCATTGAAGTAAAAATTCGTATAATGTATTTTGAAAACTAAAAAATTTTATTTGCATTAGATTTTCAAAGAATACATGACAGTTGATGGTTACAAAATAACGTCGATCCCAAAAATCACACTGAGGCCATGCATTATAATTTATAACAGTTGATCAGATCAACAAGAATCTTTATATTCACGGCAAAAAAAATTATACTTGCAATCCAAATGTACTCAAATGAATCGATTCCTTTAAACTCGAGCAAGTAAGCAGCAAATAACCACAAAGATTGACTGGATATCCAGATGAATAACAGAGTAAAGATTCTTGTTAAACTCATTTTCAAGTATGGTATACAAATTGGCAGCAAAGAAAGAAACCAGAAAAAGTATTGCGACGTCATAACAGGATTGAAAGTAACCATTGTAATGGCTTGGGTGAACAAAGCAAAGGGTAATTTTTCTTTGGTCGAGTAGCGACAAGCTAGAGCTACTAAAATTGAAACTTGGGGTAAGAATGTGAAAAATTTTTGAGTCAGATTAAGCCCCTCGTTGGCTGTGAGATACAGCATGTAGAAAAAAACAGAAAAATTGTGCCTGACATCTTTTCTAATTATATGATAGATTATACTCTCGTCTAAAAATTTCTTACCGCAATAAACGTAACTTAATGCCGTCAAGTCGATTAGAGACAATATGCATGGTACCACTAACTTGAGCTGTCTCTTATTTGGTAAGATTATGTTGCCCTCTTGGAGGTAAAGGTACATAGCTAGACTAAAAGCTAATGGGTACAATCTAAAATGTATAGATAAACCGTGCACTATGCCTGCCATGATAATATGATCATTTTGTAACAAGTACAAAGTCCACAGGACTAGATATACAGCCAATGAATCTGCATTTCCTCTTGTCGATATAACAACCGCCAGTGGATTGTACAGCCACAAAAGTGCGCACAGGTTGGCTGTTTGTTGTTTGAAGTTTTGGCAGATAAGAATCTTTCTCATTAATTTTGCAACCAGGATGTCGATCACCGAGAAGAAGACCTTGCCGAAATCTTGATGCACATAAACATTGGGCATCATTAACATGGCCAGCAGGGGTGTGTATCTATAAGTATGACGTTCGAATGGAGATTTTCCTTTGGTTATGTATCGAGCTGCATCGGTGTAGACTTTATAATCTATGTCAGTGTATGGTACATTGAAGTACTTGTCGTGATAATTTGAGTACATTATTAAAACAAGCCTTATTACGAAAGCTATGGCACAATGCATTTGAATAGAAATCTCACTGCACGGTTGAATCATCTTCCTTTTCGGCACTGGCTTGCTAACCTTGACACTAGTTGCTAAATGCTTCGACATTTTTACAATACTCGGGGAATCAAAATTTACAGTCTCGTCTTATTTCTAGCAGCTGCTTTCAGAAGGCATGCCTTGAATTTTTCAAATTCTTCTTTGCAATCATCTTTTTTTACATCTCTCTTGCTTAATACGCAAGTTGCATACTGTGCACCTAACTCACGACATTCAGCTACCAATGCCGGATACTTTCTGAATCTTTCTTTAGCGCGTTTCACTACTTCCATTACTAATAAAGTTCAAATTTTACTCAATTTTCGACGATAAATGAAAAGGCGAACTGAGTTTCATCTGTTCGATTTCTTCAGATGATTGTGTGAAACTTTTCAGTATAGGAGAAAAAATAAAAGCGAGTCCTAATACTGTTCCCGAAACAAAAAAAAATCGTGGATAACGATATATTATTCCTTGTTCCTTCAATATTGGTCTTCTTTGATTCGTTTTCATAATTTACTTTAAAGTCTCTTTCTGAAAAAAAAACCAGATTTTCCAGATGAAAGTTTATTTCTTATTCCAAGTACTGAAATACGTAAGTATATAAATATTGCAGTCCTATGATGGCATAAAAACTTACATAATCCACCGTGTTGTGTTCATATGGTTTGGAAGTATCAATTCCTTCACAAACAAGAGAAATGGACGAATGTTTTATGCAGCATTTCCTTAACTCTTCAATCACATCTTCACACTTTGACGGCTGATAAACATTATCTGTGGAAAGGGGTAAGTGTTGTAGGTGAAAAAAACTATCACAGGTCACGCTGCTATTGCGACATCAAGAAAAACAAATACATACTTTTCAAACATGTTTGCAACTTACAAGCAAAAATCTTACACGGATCAGCAGATTTTACAGTTGACATTAAACTATTTTTTGTTAGTTAATTATTTAACGCAACGTATAGAGAACTTGGCATCATAGATTGCGTTACAACATAACCCCGTAAAAAATCCTGACTTTCTGACTCCACAAAATGCAGCTAATAAAAGTTTTGAATACCGCTACTATCGATAATAAAGGGAGCTCACTTATCGTTAGTAGTTGTCTTCTTATCGGCTAATGTTAACACGCGCTTGTATGCACTGTTATACCAATTGATGTTGTTGCAATAGGACAGCTGACCAGCGGTAGGTAACCGTAACGATTCGGTTTAAAATTCTGAAGACACACGACGATCATTAATGGCATAAAAATATAAGTACCCAATCGGAAATCGTTTTCGATTGGGTAGGTATAGAATCGGCAGAAAATCCAGGAGACCAGTGTACTAATTAAAAAAAATGTTATATTTAGCTTTAAATTATCGATATTTACTACAATATAGACGTTTATAACACAAAAATGTACATTCTATAAACGAGAAAGGTATATTTGCTTAAACGATATTGTAAATAATCATCTTTGTAGGACGCGATTTTTGGGGGAAAAATGTACTGATGCTAATTATGAAATAGAAGGTACCTAAAATTTCTTAAAATTTTTTTATTAAAAAGGAAATTAAAAATTTTACAGTAATCAAATAATGTAATATTTCTTAGAAAAATATTGAGCGAATGGAAGTTACTGTTTGGGAATTCCTTATGTGATTGTTTAATCTATTGATTTTGATTTTACAGCGTTCTCAGCCTCTTCGAATCTAAACTATACACACATTACCTGTAAGAAAAACTTTAACAAAACAGGTAATATTTGTTTTGGAATTATTACGCACTCAAAATTGACAACGAGGGTGCAAAGTATTCGTAATTTACGTGCACATGTAGGTATACAGCGAATGTAATGAGAAACCTTATCTTATCGATTTTTGACTACTTACGCATATGGTATACAAGAAACCTCTCGTGGATTTATGAATGTTGGAACATACACAGAGGACAATAAAGTGCATGTAGTTTACGTCAATAAAAATGTTTTTTTTTTGTTTTTTTTTGTTTTTTTTTTGTTTTTTTTTTCAACGATAGATCGGCGTGTGATTAAGAGATTTTTGTTTATTAAGAACCCCGAAAACTGTGTGTGTATACATAAATGCACATTGGCCCGTGTTTGTCATTTTTGGTAATTAAGAGTCAATTAAGATGTTTGATTTATTTGCTATTATCTCCGAAGAAATAAGTACGAAATTTTTCTTCTCGTGTGCCGAAGCTCACATTTGTTATCATATACCTACCTAGTTATTTTCCAAATATGAAGCTCGTAAAGAGCGAATTCGCTTTGAATTCACTTACTTGCATATGCGTGCACAATTTCATTTGGGGTATGGTATATATATACACGTATGTACCATTATTTTTAACGCAAAGCCGAAATTTTAAGAAAATATTTTTCTTTTCCGAAAAAAGAAGAATGAGTAAGAAACGCTCGATGCACGGCTGGAATCCGATCCCGCTGCTGCTGCTACTGTTTGAAAAATCAAACCCAACAATTCGTCCTTTGTGAGACCGATCGTCCGAAAACTTTTTATATACCTGATGCGGCTGCATGAGCCCCGAAATCTCTGCGCTCTCGTTTTCTCGCGAGCACAAAAGACCATAATATAGAACCCGGAGAATGAGAAAAGGGGCTCGCACTCGTCTTTGTGGCTCGACGGCGTGTATATAATATATACGCGGAGTATGCGCAGGGAAATGAATGGGGTTCTGGATCGAGATGGGAGAGAGATAGAATTCGTACCAATACCCAATATACCTGTGTATACGCACGCTGGTCGTCCTCGCGGGGAAGGAGAAGCTTGTCGCGTTATGTCCCCTTCCGTACCACGGCTGCATATAGGGGCTGTAGGGAGGGTGCAGTATACAGCGCGGACGGAGTGCAGTGCGACGACGACAAAGTAGGCGAACCAGCTATATATATAAAAGCCATGGCATGTGTACATGCTATGGGCGTCATACAGTGGCGCGCCCTGCAGCGGTTCCAGGGTAACTGCCGCTTTTCTCCACTACGGAGCTTATGTATTATATATGTATACGGCGGCCGGGCGGCGGCAACGGCGACGAAAGACACAAACGTCGAGCCGCCGCCAACAGAGAGAGTCGCGCAGCCGCCAGCGCCGAGCGTCGAGAGGATACACTAGTCGGGGTGCAGCCATCGCGAGGCCAGTGTGACTCGAGTATGCGACCAGTGAAGGTCGAGCTGTCGTGGTGGCTATCAGTGTACGGAGTCGATGACGCGCGAGAACTTTGTTGACGATGCATCAGCGCAGCTCGTCGGACGAAGAAGATAGCCCTAAGCCATGATCGTTTGTTTTTGCCGTGGTGCGCCAAATTCGCTGATCTCGAGTCGCTTCTGATAACTATAACAATCATATTATCATCATCATATACCCGGTTACGCGGACTCTGTGGTGTTTACTATTGAGTGTTATACCGTGGCTTGGCCAAGGGTGTTCCGCGTATGCGTGCACGATAAAATAAAGTAATTACAAGTAGAATTAGTCACTGGTGGTGCGCGACAATAAATCGTAGACGCGCGAAAGCTCAAGTGGAGCTTTTGCTGAAGAAACCACTGCTCCTGCTTACCTGGTTATCAAAGTGTGGTCCAAGTGCCACCACCACGACGGGGTAAATCGGCGCAAGCAGCAGATAGACAGCTGCAGTTATGGGCGACGGATCGGCGTTCACGTGATAGAAGCCGCTCGTAGAGGCGAGGGTGGGAGAGAAGGCTGGACCGTTTCTCTACATCTCTCGTTTCGGGGGAGTGCGCGATTGGGGGTGGCTGCTGATTGTTGACGCTTGCCAATAATAATAACGAATGATGATGATGATAAGCACACTCGCGTCAGTGATGGAGGGAACAGCAACCATCAACACAAGAAGAAACAGTGGCACAAGGGAGACAAGATGCAGTTGGTGGCGTTGGTGGTGGCGGCAACGGCGGCTGGAAGTCCCGGTGCTGGTGATGCTGCTGCTCGTACTGGTGGACCAGGACGAGGCAGGAGTCGCGGCGGTGACGGCGGTAGCGGGTGGTGGCCCGTGTCACTGGTCAGCCGAAATCAACGAGACACGCGCGGCCTACTGCACACTCCGTACCCTCGATCCTCCCAGCTTGGTAGATCTGTCGGCCTCGCTCGAGGGTGCCCTCAAGCTTCGGCTGGGCTGCAGTAGCGCGCATCATTTCGAGAGCACGATCAGCGCCGAGAGTTGGCAACGATTGACCGGCCTGCACGATCTTGTACTAGAGGACTGTCTTCTTTCGATCAAGAAGGACAGCTTCCGACCGCTCGGTGAACTGAAGCGGCTTGCTGTGCGCACTTTGAACATCGAGTGGTCGGTGTCCCGGAGTTTGGAGCTCGAGCCCGAGGCCTTTACGGGTCTGCGGGAGCTCCAGGCGCTGGAAATTTCTAGCAACCTGCGCTCCCTGCCGGCTGGTCTGCTTTGCGGCCTGGGCAATCTTCAAGTGCTCAATCTTACCGGAAACCAGTTTAGCAACGTCAGTGATTTCGGGTTTTCCACCGTCGCGGCAGCAGCATCCTCGGTCGTTCCCCAGGAGTGCCATCCAGACATACGGGTGCTCGATCTCTCGCGCAACGAATTGACCTCCCTACCGGAAGACAATTCTTTGTCGGCTTTTAGGGGACTGAGTGATCTATTTTTACAGCACAACGGCCTGACTGATATTCATTCCGATTCGTTGACGGGCCTGGCGAGCTTAAGAATATTAAACGCCAGTTACAATAGTCTTTCCAGCCTGCCGCAGGCCTTGTTCGCGGGGACTCGCGACTTGAGAGAGATCCACTTTCAGTACAACAGTTTGACCACGATACCTCGTGGCACTTTCACTCGGCTCGAACAGTTGCTCGTGCTGAATCTGTCCGGCAATCGATTGAAAAGCGACTCCGTCAACGACACGACCTTCAACGGCCTCATCCGATTAATAGTCCTCGATCTGTCTTTCAACGAGCTGACCCACATAAGCGAGTTTATGTTCAAGGATTTGTTTTTCCTGCAAATTTTGGATCTCCGGAACAACTCCATCGGTCACATCGAGCCCCACGCCTTCCGGCCTCTCTACAACCTGCACACCCTGGAACTCTCCGACAACAGGCTGCACGCCATAGGGCCCCAACTCTTTAACGGGCTCTTCGTCCTCAATCGGCTCACTTTATCGGGCAACATGATATCCAGCCTGAAGATCGCGCCTCTGGCGTTCCGCAACTGCTCCGATCTCAAGGAGTTGGATCTCAGCAGCAATCAACTGACGAGCGTGCCCGAGGCCCTGCGCAACCTCAACTTCCTCAAGACCCTGGACCTCGGCGAGAACCGCATAACCGAATTCCATAACGGCTCGTTCGCGAATCTCCATCAGCTCACCGGGCTGCGTTTGATCGGCAACGAGATCGGCAATCTGACGCGCGGCATGCTCTGGGACCTGCCGAACCTGCAAATCCTCAATTTGGCACGGAACAAGATCCAGCACGTCGAACGCGACACGTTCGAGCGCAACACGCGACTGGAGGCCATTAGGCTCGATGGTAATTTTCTCTCGGACATAAACGGCGTGTTTGCCGGCATCACGAGTCTGCTGCTGCTCAATCTATCCGAAAATCACATAGAGTGGTTCGACTACGCCTTCATACCGAGCAACCTCAAGTGGCTCGACATTCACGGCAATTTCATCGAGAAGCTCGGCAATTACTACATGATCCGGGATCAAAAAGTGCGCACCTTGGACGCGAGCCACAATCGGATCACCGAACTGACTCCTCTCTCGGTGCCCGACAGCGTCGAGCTGCTGTTCATCAACAACAACTACATAAGCACCGTGAGGCCCAACACCTTCGTCGGAAAGACCAACTTGACGCGCGTCGACATGTACGCCAACATGATCGAGACCATGGAGTTGGCCGCCCTTCGGCTGAGCAGTCCATCGGGACCATCGTCGTCGTTGTCTCCTGGTAGCGACGCTGAGGAAGCCATCAAGCAACCCCTGCCCGAGTTCTACTTGGGTGGCAATCCCTTCAACTGCAACTGCTCGATGGACTGGCTGCCGGTGATAAACAACATGAGCGCGCAACAGCGCCAGCATCCACGGGTCATGGACCTCGAGAACGCAATGTGCCGCATCACCGGTCCCCGGGGCACCGCCGTGGTGCCGGCCAGCTCGGCCCGGCCCGAGCAGTTCCTCTGCCGTTATGAGGCCCACTGCTTCGCCCTCTGCCACTGCTGCGACTTTGACGCCTGCGACTGCGAGATGACCTGTCCCTCGGACTGCAAGTGCTACCACGATCAGACCTGGAACACCAACGTTGTGGACTGCTCGGGCCTGGGCAGCCGGGACATACCGAGGCGGATACCGATGGACGCGACCGAGGTCTACCTCGACGGGAACGATCTGCGCGAGTTGCAGAACCACGTGTTCATCGGTCGCAAGAACATGCGCGTGCTCTACGTCAACGCCTCGGGCATCGAGTCGATTCAGAATCGGACGTTCAACGGCCTGAACAACCTTCAAGTGCTGCACCTCGAGGACAACCGTATTCAAGAATTGCGGGGCTTCGAGTTTGAGCACTTGGCCCATCTGCGCGAGCTCTACCTTCAAAACAACGTCATCAGCTTTATCGGCAATTTGACGCTGTTGCCCTTGCGCTCGCTCGAGGTGCTCAAGCTGCACGGCAATCGGCTCGTCACCTTTCCCGTCTGGCAGGTCGGGCTCAACGCCCGCCTGACCGAGTTGTCCCTCGGCTCGAATCTCTGGTCCTGCCGGTGCAAGTTCCTCCAGGAGTTGACTGCCTGGATGTCGGAGAACGCGCACAAGGTGGTGGATGCCACCGATGTCTGGTGTTACAACAACGAGGTCCGACCGGCCTATCGGCGCAAGTTAGACGTCAACGAGACCGCCTGCTCGGACTACTTTGCCCAGGGTGGCTCCGGTGGGGTCATCGAGAGCCTCGTCTCGGACTACCTGCCGACCCTCGCGGCTACTCTCTCCGTCGTACTGCTGCTACTCGTGCTCGGCGTCATGGGCTTCATATTCCGCGAGCCGGTGCGCACCTGGGCCTACTCGCGCTACGGGGTACGCTTCCTTGCCAAGGCGCAGGCGCCCGAGGACAAGGAGCGCCTCTACGACGGCTACGTGTGCTACAGTCCCAAGGACGAGGACTTTGTCCTCCACAGTCTGGCCGCCGAGCTCGAGCACGGGGTCGAGGGCCTGAGGCTCTGCCTTCACCACCGAGACTTGCCCTGCCTGCGTGCAGCCGCCCCCGTGGTGCTCGAAGCCGCCGAGGCCTCGCGGCGCGTCCTCGTCGTACTAACGCGCAACTTCATGCAGACCGAGTGGGCGCGCTTCGAGTTCCGGGCGGCCATGCACGAGGCGTTGCGAGGCCGGCCGGGCCAATTGGTCGTCATCCAAGTCGGCCCGGTCAGCCACGAGCTCGAGACGGACCTCGAGCTCAGGCCCTACCTCCACACGGCCGTCATCCTGCGCTGGGGCGAGCGTAAGTTCTGGGAGCGGCTGAGGTACGCCCTACCACCGGGTGACGCGCTCGGGCGCAAGACATCATCGCTCTACCGGCGCAACGTCAACACGTACACCCTCGAGGGTAGGCCAGAGAAGCCGGTGCCGTCTCCTGCTCACCACCACCACCACCACCAACAGCAGCAGCAGCAGCAGCAGCACCTCCACCACCACCATCACCATCTGCATCATCATCATCCGCACCTTCATCATCAGCAGCAGCAGCAGCAGCACCACCACCCGCTCTTCAAAGACTCGACGGGGACAGCGGTGACTGCCGAACTGATGCAGGCACCACCTGCTTACTCGAGCACGGCCATCCTCGGGCACCAGCAACCGCAGGGCGGTGTTACCGTGGCGGGTGGCAATAACAACGGCTCGCAAGCAGGCAACGGGAGCTCGAGTCCGGGCCAGTCGACGAGCCCGAGTCCACGGCTGACGATGAACAGGGCCTACCAGGATAATCCAGGTGCCGATGGGCTCAACGACGCCACCAGGAGGCCGCTGTCCGAGCACATCTACTCCTCCATTGACTCGGACTACTCGACCCTCGAGCGGCAGACGCACGCCTGGAGGCAACAGCACACACAGCAGTCGAAGCCACAGTCGGGCCAGGCCTACCTGGTCTAAGGGCTCTCTGCGATTACGGCAACTGTTTTTGTTGTTGTTGTTGTTGTTGTTGTTGTGATGGACTCAAGAGAGAAAAATCACGCTCGATATTTAGTGCGCGCGCGTGGAGCGATGCCTATGTGTGTGTGTGTACGTGTTGTTACTGTTGGTTCGCGTTTCTACGATATGCCTATATATACTACCGTGTATACTAAGGGGCACCGCGATACTCGCCAATTCTTTCGCGGTACACCTACCTATCACTTATCTTGCCTCATTTTCTCTATACGCGCTACAAGAGTGTTGTTGCTCGAATATATTGTTTTTTTTTTTTCTTCGTCCTACGTTGCGATGCTACACTGTGTATATATATAAATTATATAGTCGCCGATCGGATAATGATTGTAAAGCATTTTTCAGCTTTTCTTTTTTTTCTTTTTGTTTTCTTTTTTTTTTTTTTTTTTTGTGTTCGAACGAGTTGAAGTGCGCTGTTCCGCGAAAAGACGATAAACACGAAAGACGAAAAAATCCTTCGAAAGTGATGCTGTCACTTTTTACATCGACACGACTAAAGGTGTTGCGTAGCAGAAGAAACGAATAAATAAATGAAACAAGACTTGAATCAAAAAAAGAGTGAGTGCGCTGAAATTCCTTGACGCGACGTCGCTGTTGAGCGGTGATTGAGAAGAATAAGTGAAATAAGTGAGATTTATTTTTTTGTCCTCGCGGTTCGTTTGTCTTTCATCTGCGGATCAGTCGATGGCCCACCTCGCTGAACTATATACTTGTGCAACTGCCATGAGACGTAAAAAAGCTGAACAAATTCTTGTGAAGATGTTTTGTGTGTTCGTGTAAATATGCTTTGGCTCGCAAAATTAATAACGTTAAGAAGAAAAGAAAAGAAAAAAAAAGAAAAAAAAAAGGGAAATTCTACGTGTTTGCTTTAATAGAATGCATCGCGCGAATGACGGTGTTGCCTCGACCACGGTGACCGATTTCGTGTATAATAAGCGCTGGTTGTATATTATACTTAAAGAAAAGAAAGATGGAAAAAACAAAAAAAAAAAAAAAGAATCAAGATCGGAAGCAAAGCAGAGCTCGCTGTGTATTATATTTATGCATGGAAAGAATGTGCGTTTCGAGAGTTTGATAATCAAGGGAGTGCGAGTGAGTGCTTGTAAAAGGAGTGCAAATTAAGGAGAACGTCTTGTGAACTTTAGATAGGCAATTTTTTATAATTTTATATCGACTGCTAAAACAAGGCTGTTTGTACGATATGTAAATATGTATTTACGAATAATCTTTCGCCTCGTGTAAGATTAAATCTCGATTAAAGCAAAAAACGAATGAAAAATGGAAGAATACTTCTGCCGTTTTACACACGGTACGACGTTGTTGTGACAATGTACGATCATGTCTATACACACGAAAATTTGTGTATACAAATATAAATACGTAATAACTGCTGAAATTCCATTTATTTAATTTATGTGAATAAATTTATAACTTATACGTTATTGTTTCAAAGTAAACAAACTGTCTAATGATTTACGCAACTCCCCGTAAACACTAATCCTAAACCATATCCTATGAAATATGAGAAACATTGGTTTTCATCATTATACAATTTTTACCATAACTTTTGGATAAACCTATTGAGCAATACAGATTTGAAATTATTGTTCAATAAGAAAGAAAGTTCATTCAGACGGGCACGTTGATCGTTTGATTGGCTTCTCGAAAGGGCTGGGCCGCGCGGATCCTTAAAATAACACCAGCCAGACGTCACCGCACGAACGTGTGTGCCCAAGATGGTTTTCGAGTGCCGCGCCGATAAGATTCAATATTTACTCAGCAAATAAGCCGGTAAGTACCCATTCGAGATTGCGGGCGGAGGACCACGTAATTCCTTTCTCCACCCGTGACACAAAGGTGTTATTGAGAAATAAAAAACTCGAGCCAATAACGCCAATCAACGCTCGTGAACACATACACGACGCACACATTTACTTGCTCGTCGTTCATTTTATTTGTCCCGTTATCGAAAACACGTACGACCTCAATATTAATCTGTATCGTTCGTGTTTATACATATATTATATTATGGTGGGTGTGTGCATGCCACTTGTCATAGTACGTGTACCGCGGTATAGCTGTCCAGCACGTGTGATACGTAGTACGTTCATGTTACATCGGTAGATACAGGTAACCTACCTACTCACTATACGTGAAAAATCGTAAATTCTTGCTTACAAACTTGGTTCATTCGTTTGCGTACTTTTTCAACCGAATGCTCCGAGTTGTCTTTTCAAGAAATTGTACAAAAATCACAAACTCGATACCTCATATTTAAGAACTCTCAAGTGTACCTAATATCGATCGATTTTTTTTTTTTTTAATCCAGAGGAGTAGGTAACCGAGAGCGATAATTCATTGAAAATCGGGAGATGAATCGAGCCGAGACCGAATGAATTAAATTTTATTGACGCGAAGCTTCACTTTCGCTAATCTTCGATACAAGTCAAAACGGAGGGGTGAAAAATACTCCCGAGTCTCGGCCGTTACTCGTATAATATAGATGACACGTTTGCCGATTCAACAGAGGAAGGGAGCGTATATTATATTATCACTCGCCCATCCAAACAACGCGTGCGTCACCCCAAGTCCCTCCCATACTTATATTTATTTTCGAAAGATTTTCTTTTCAAGCATACATATATATATACCTAAGTACTCGATATACGCAAGCAAAATAGCTCATTATAATGCAACTCGGTCTTGTTTGCCAGCCGTGTGATTAGCATCATCACGTGATCGCGCGCTCGCACACCCATACATATCCTAGGTACGATGTAGGTATAGGTGTACAATATATAGTACGCAAAAGAGCCTGTTTGCCGAAGAAAAGGGAAAGAAAAACGAAAGCGTGTGTATTTTAGATACTTACCTGTGGGTATGTATATATGTACTGTATATGCTGCACGGAAAGCTGTATATTTATACATGCCTACCGGGGTGTACTTTTTTTTTTTTTTTTGTTTTGTCATGCAGGTTATATATTTATCCAGCTCTGGTTATATATACATAGACGTACTGCGTGCGCGGAGGATTAGCGGCACGCCAAGCGGTATCGTGCTTTTTCAGGACGATTTTTTACCCCCCCCCCCCCAGACCTCGGTATACTTAGCCCTCGGTTTCTTCGAACTTTGACGATTGCCACGCCAACTTGTACAGGTACTGTACCCATACCGAGGCATAATTGTACATTTTACAGGAGCACGTGCCATTGTTCGCCCGAACGTGCGTGCTCGCGCGCGATACGGGGCTTCTCGCATGAGAGATCTACCTCTCGTTGAAAAGGTCTGATTAATGGACATCTCGGCGCAACACGTGCCCAAACAATGTATACATATATATGCATATGTATTCGTAGGCCCGGCCGTGAGTGGCTTGTCACGTTACTTACTTTGACAAAACTGTACGTTTTTTATTCGCATATACGTAAAGAAAAAGAAAAAAATTTTTTTACCCTCGCAGGCTGCATTTTTCAAACAGTAAATAAGTATATATATATCTTATACGCATGCATATGGGATTGAGTTTGTGTTTGTTGACCGATACCATCAACTCTGTGTGTAATTATATACAATGTACGTATATACATGACATGTATGTGTTGCAGGAAGGAATATCATTATTTCGGCATGAGGGTACAATTACTTGGGCCATGCTTTTCCGAAAGCCTTGAAGTATTCAACGCAGCGCCGAGTAGTAATGGAACTCCTCGGCGGAGCAGCTGTCTCCACTTGAAAATCCGTCAAGTGAATTATCCGGTGGCCCTAAAAGTTGGCGGACAAAAATCCGACTCTCGTCAAGACCTCAAGAGCATCGGGGGAAGATAGAGACGGGACTTGGGCGCATCGATCGGGCAGCGCTACACCCCGGCTCATTATTAATTTGCTGCCAGCCACCCCCCCAAGGCTTACAGCATTCGCCGCTCGTTCTTTTGTTTCTCCCATTCTCCGTTTATTCTTTCCTTTTTGTTTTGTTTTTCTTTCTTTTCTCAAACTTGGTTGCAAACACTAACTTGTTAATGCCGCGGCAGTTTTTTCGTTTCCTCCTCCCCAGAATATATCGCGCTGGAGATTTTTGTTGGCCGCGAAGCAAGAGAGCACACCACAATATCAGCAGCTGCATGGTATTGGAAGCCAATGGACTATCGATTTTTGTTGGAATTTCGATATTGGGGCTCTGGGAATACGGAAAGAAGAAATGAAACGCAACTATTGGAAGCGCAGTGTAATCGTCTGAAGCTACTACTATCTGTGTTATTTAATTATTACTGTGATAACAATCATTGTTGTTTTCGTTATCGATTGGATAAAAAAAAAAAAAAAAAAAAAAAAAAAAAAAAAAAAAAAATGATATTTTCATCTGTCGCATTCGTAAAATCACGTTCTATAGAGCATTATAAATAAAATACTGAATAGCTTCGATCATTAAATATGAAATTATTACCACGTGGGTTGTATGTATAATGAATATTATGTACATGAATGTACGAACGGGAGCAACCTTAAACAAAATATACAAATGACAAAAAGATACAGATATATATATATATATATATAATATATTATATAGATATCTTGGCCAGATGGTAAGTGTATACGGAGGGGTCGTTTGAAAAATTAGCCCTCGGAAATGTAATAAGCCGTCCTCTTTCGGTGGGCTCCGATTCTCCCGACAAGTAAACCACGTTAACGAGGTCCCCACCCGAATAATCCAGCCCATCTAGAAAATTCGACGCACAACCCGAGACATTGTAATGGTGTAGCTCTCAAAAAGAGACAAGAGGGCCAAGGGCGCGTGGCGTGTATAACAAACACAGACACCAACAACAACCTATTTGTGTATGTTTTACGTATAGGTACAAACTGCTGTTGGTCCACCGCGGCAGAGAAGCAGAGCCCGCGATAAATCAGCTGCCAAAGTCGAGAGGAACGACCAAACGGTTTCGATTGACTCTCTGATAAAACGCGTGATCTTGGAGCGGAGAGACGGGGAGTAGGTAGTATAGGTATAACAAGCGGTATATTGCGGCATATTTCGATACTGAGTCGATTTGTACATATGTGCACGTGTAGGCATATACGCATTAACCATCCGGATCGAATTCCCGAAATATTTCTCTGCATCTCTCTCTCTCTCTCTCTCTCGACATACCTATACCAACTCCACGCGTATTAGGTGTTATATACGCGTGCAATGCACCGCAGCAAGGTAGATGGTTATTCATAGAGATATATGCTGCCATCACATGTACATCTATGATTATATATGACGTTTGATTCAATTTAGAGATACTATGTTTCAGCGACTGCATATGGACAGATGACCATATAAGCGCGGGCCCCGAGGCTGGCCCGGCCCCTCCGAATACTTTTTCATTATAACTAATAGTTCATGCGCGGGTATAATATATAATCTATAGGTATTTGTAAGAGTTAGCTGCACAGCAGCATGGGAGTATCCGGAATATTGTAGGTATGATAATATAATACGTACAGATGCGACCGAGATACATTCCCAACGATTACTACAATAAGTATATATATATAACCCTCGGCTCGAGGAGGTCTTTCGAAGCTTTGGACTCGTCTCCCTAATTTATATATATATATATGCTGAGGCTCCACTCGGATGAACCACCGAGCCTTTTCCTTTACCAGTGGGTAGTACTACTAACTACCGTCCCGACCCTGGCCGCATAGCTATAGAGTGACACTTTTTTTTCCCGAGGAATATCGCCCATTGCCAGCGAAGGGTCGACCCCCTCCTCGACTACCTCTTCTTCTCCTTGAGCAATTGGTCCGATTAGTCCGAGGAGGCTTATTTCTTTTCTTCTCTCTTGGCTCGTTATTTTTCCTTAATTGGAAATTAAGCGGGGAAACCAAAGGGGGCGAAAGAAGGAGAGAAGACGCGCGTCGGAACATCTGTTGAGTGTAGCTTAGTGGATGTCGTAATTATGGGAACACGGACTTTCTTGATCATATATTTTTCAGCGGTTG